ATTGGTTGTGCTTCGGAGGTTTGCTTGAGGAACTCCACCCGGAGCCTTTGGTACAGTAGTCTGATCCACAAGGCAGTGGGAGCAGATCAAGCTCGGGAGCGTGATTGCAGAGACAGATTGGGATCTGTTTGACGGCGGTTACACATAGCCTTTGGCGATCTGGAACGATTCCTATATGATTTGCGACCGTAGTGGGATACACACCTGCGACCACAGCCAGAAGCAGGTGGTTTTTGATTGGTTTGCGCTAATTTGACCATGGTCCGCTTGGCTTGAGGCGGGCAGTAGCAAACCATCGAGCACGAGGAGCCCCCCTCCCACCGTCAGAGACAATACATGGCGCTCGTGCTCTACGCCAATGGGGCTGTGAGCATCTAACCCGTAGACCTGTTCTCTCCCATGACTAGGTTTTAAGGGGAAGTGGGTCATCGACCACTTTCTTAACTCCGAAGTGGATGGACCTACATACTGGTAGAGCGCCCACACGTGACAGGCGAACGACTCGGATCCTCAGCCAAAGCTTTTGATTAAATGTACACCCGAAATGCAGCGGGTCTAGCACATTGCCAGTTCACTGACTTATGCGGATTGGTGTCCTGGATCTTAGCAAGGAGAAGCGCGTAACCCAAATCCCCCCAGCGGTCGCCACGAGCAGTCGGTCATGACATGAGACCATGGCACAACAGTAGCAGCCGTGGGTAGACCATTTGCTAGATTCCATCCACGACCATCCTCAGCGCACCATAGGCTCACCCGCGCTTGATATATATATATATATATATATATATATATATATATATATATATAAAGGGTGTTTTATTAAACTGTTCCGGGGCTAGGAGCGGCTGCACTTAGGTGCTGAGGTACAGAGGTAAGCTGAATTGCTAACTGTCCAATGATGTAAATTGCTTCGCCGTCAGAAGTGAGATGGGACACAGAGACGCGACATGTGTGTCTATGGTCGCAGAGCACACCGAGCCGTTCGGCTGTGAGAAGTGAGCGTTTGCAAACGCCGCAGCCGCAATGAATGCATCATGCCTCGACCGCATGGTTAAACCTAAGGAAAGCACGCGGTTCAGCTGTGGGAACTGGACGTGAGCCGAACACCACATAGCCGCACTGAAAGTGTCATGCTTCGATTCATCGGTGTCGGCCTTCATGCAGGTGAAACATCAGCAAAATGGGTTCCGCGCGAAGTGGTTAAGGGTTCTCTGTGCTAAAAAACAGCCTGGCCGTATGTGATGACCGGTCGATGGGCGCCGTACTGCTATCGCCACAACAGCTGTTCTCGCCTCATGACTGACTTCCAACAAACCCGTAAGCTATTATTATGCTGTTTTCGCCGTTAAAGGAATCATACTGACCGGGAGCACATTGTAAGCTTACAGCGGTGTTCACTTTGCCGTTTCGATCGTGTGTGTGTGTTGCAGCTGAAAATTCACCCTTCATGGATGCATAAAACGAATTCTGGACTTGACTTGACGTGCCGATGCGCTTAGATTTCAGTCAGCGCCGACGAACCGGTGACACCAATAGACAGCATACCAATTTAATCATGGATGCAGCTATTGACATCACCGTCAGACAATTGCTATTTGTATAAATTGATAAGGCTTTCGATGGTGTTTCTCGTGTACAATGTAGAATATACATTGATCCCTTTCTTTATTTATATTTACATGGTGGCTGCTGCGGCAATTCGTTCAAGGAACTGCAGCCTCCATTCCATCTGCGTCATGAGTTTCTGGGGATCCCCGGCCAGAAGTTCCTCGTAGTGCATTCTCATCTCATTCTTCACTCTGGCCTTCACCACCTGCCAAACATTCCCGATCGGATTGAGGAACGGAGAGTATGGGTTCAATCTCAGTATGGTTACTCGTTCTTATTCATCTACTGACGACAGTGCTTCCAGTCGTGTGTGACATGGTGCATTATCACATACCACGACAACCTGCCGGAGCTCCATCTCCCGTTTCGGGTTGTCTAAATAGCTTCGCAGCCATTCGAGAGATAGGGGACCTGTGCATGAGCCTCTCCGGGTGGTCATCGACACTTCCCTTCCATTGTGACTACACCGATTAAATGAAAATTGAGGCCTCTACTGTTGGTAACTTTGTAACAGGCCCTCACTCCTCTGGGCGCCCAACCAAGAGTACTTTTGCACTAAAGGTTGAAGTTCGCTTCGTCAATCCAAACGAAGAACTTGCCATCGCTCTCAAGTTGGAGAAACTGCTGAACGAATTCCCTGCGTATCCCTTTGCTTCGCTCATTGTTCATTCCCTCGGAAACCTGATAGATGTTCTTTGTAGTTATCACTCGACCATCCAGGTGCCGTGCGATTGTTGACTTCGAAATGTCCTTGTCCATTTCTGCTCGTACTCGTACTCGCATTTCCCGTAGCGTAAGAGTTGAAGCTCTTGCGATCCAATCTAAGATGTCACCTACGTCTTCCTCCGACAGAATCCGCTTACGTCCGAGCGCATGCCTAGTACTTGGCTTCTGATCAAGAGAACGACGAATCCAGGAGTAGGCTGTTTGATAGTTAACATTTTTCATAGTTGCCACTAGCTGCCAGTCATCACCGTTGATGAAGGCGCCCAAAACCGCTCACGCATGTCTCATGAGACATTCTGTCGAACGCGAGAAGGCATGCCAACGACTTTAGCATCATGGATATGATTTCGGTCGTGCGCTTATGTTCCAGCTGTTTATTGCTCTCAGACCAATTGTGATCCACCGCTTCGGAAGTGAGGCGGCGCATACAAGCCCGTTGCATCGCTGAAGTGTATACCTCTAAGGTTCATTCACAAGTCGCACCCAGTCAACAGGCAGCGCGCTCACCTCCCCAGACTAACGCACCGAACCTTGGCATTTGGCCAATGAGAACACACTAGGTTAGAAGATTGGCTCTGAGCAGCGAGCGAATCGCACAGGGTTTTGCAACATCTTTGACTTTCTTTGAGAACCTTTGAACTTTCTTTGCAAAAGTTTGGACCTTTTATGCAACTTCGCGGGAAATGCTATAGATAGTATGTTCCAGCGTCTCGACTCTCCGATCTTCCGGCAGATGATCAATGCGAATGCGTGGCCTCACATGGAGAACTTGATTCAGACCTGGAAATCCTGGCTGAGTCGCGATCTGACTGCACTAGAGACCCTACAACCAAAATTGTGGTGCGCCTGTTCCATATGCAATTTGAACTACAACTGGAAGTTTGCGCCGTCTATAGATGACCTCATCTTGACTTACCAGTACCGAAAAATTCAACTGAGATTTTTCATTACCTTATGAAATTCAGCCGAAATACAAAACTGAAGGGACATAACTTTGCTGATACTTTGGTGTTCTGTTCAAATGAAATGCAGCCCACAGCTTGTAACGCGTTTTATTTCCTTGCATGCCAAGATCATAGTTTCTTGGGACTTTGAATAACAGAACTGTCTTCTCTATTTGGATGTTTACATCAATCCCAGGGAGAACAGTTAGGTACAAGATCTGTCTAGCGAAAAACAACGTGGTCCTGCTAGTTTCTGCATTTTGCCAGTTCACGCCAATGTGGTAAAGGCAGATGCTTGTGACGACTCTGTTAAGTCATGCCAGAGGAATATATTCGAGAGATTTTCTGGCCAATGGATTGTAGCTAATTACCAACACGCTAGTTGCAAATGGCTATCCTCGGAAGTTCATCCAGAAGCACAGCCAGATCCATAAAATGAGTGGTTCTTTACCTACCGTACCTAAGAAAAGGCTATTCTTAGAGCTTCCCATTAAGGACTACAGAACATCTGACTTCTGTCACACAGAGCACTTTCTGTGCTGCCAAAGTTGCAATCATCGACTGAAGTCATAAGCTGTCTCTGCCTCCACTGAAGGAAACCCAGCCTATCGGGACCAACTCCAATTGCATATAACACTTTGTATTTAACTGCGGAGCTGGCTACATAGGAAGAACCAGTAAGATCCTGAGTTCCCAAGTGGAGGAGTACGTTCTGAAATGGGCTTCATACGGAACTGAGCAGCAAGCAGGCCCTAGTCGGACTACGTGTTTGTGCGATCCTCCGGTAACTTCGATCGGCAGACACTTGTTGGAGTCAGGTCACCAAATTGAGGTCAATGGGGTGTTCGAGAGCCTGCTGCGCCATACGAATTCCCGGCTTCTCCAGTTCACCGAGGCTTTTGCCATAAATCGGGTTAAGCCAATGCTTTGTGTTCAAAAGCCATTTGTGTTCGGCCTCTGGCTGCCCTGGATGTAAAGACATTCATTTTTCTTCTTGTTTGTATGTTTGTTTGCGCCCTCTAACTTGCACCTAATTACCAGTTATCATTGTTGTTATTAATGGGGCGATACGAATTGCATGCTTCTGCCGAACTATGCCTTTCTACTGTCCTTTTCAAATTACTGAGGAGAGCTTACCGCTTTAAACATCCGTTATTCTCTAAACAGCAATCAGATTTTAGCCACAAAGTCACTTAATAATCGGGAGCTAATGTACTTGTGGTAAGCAGCATGGATTTGCCGAACTAAGTTGCCCCTAACATTTCTGCCGGTAGGTATGGAACATGTTAGTTACTATAAGGATATCTTATCTGGTGAGCCCGTTGTAGACGCACGTGGCTATGACTATGGCGAAGCACATATACCGGCGATATACTATCAGTGGGAGCGTATTTGAGGCGAAGCATGCGCATGAAGGTAAATCACAGACCAACAACGCAGTCCACCTTGATATCTGGCAGAACTAATTAGTCCGAAACATTATGACCATCGCATCGTGAGCGAACAGAGGAATGGTCGGACCACTGCAAGTATAAAGTTGTACAGAGTCATACCCCCACAGTGTATGCATGTACGTTTTGATGCATAGCTTGTCCCAGTAGCTTTTGGTTTCTGTTCTTCTATGACACTAAAAAGATGGTTAACCATTCTCACACATTGTCCGCTGTGATGCCACCGCTGATAAGCGCAAAGTGACTTATATGAGAAACTTCTCCATTTCAGGGTGTCGTTCACGGATTGACGTCTGCGATGACATTTTTGCTTCAAGCTGAAAGCAACAAATATAACTATCAGGCCTTGGCGAAATTTTCTCTAGTCACTTGGCCGGTTTTGCTCAAGTTGTTTTGGGCTCCCATTGTCGAGTCCGTCTATAGCGTTCGCTTTGGACGCAGAAAATCGTGGATTGTTCCCGCAATCTTCACAATTGGCGTCACGCTACTTTTACTATCTAATTATGTCGATAACTGGCTAGGTCGAAAACCTGGAGGACCATTGATTGCCGGAGCGATTAAAATTCTTCCTCTGACAGCAACCTTCTGCTGGCTTATTTTGCTGACTTCTACGTTGGACATCGCGGTGGATGGTTTAACTCTGGCTGAGCTACCCAAGTGCGTTGATGAAGTTTGAGAGTATATCGAAAATATGTCATCCTGAAGATGATAAAATTAACAGTATTGCATTTTCCGTGTTCGCGCACCCTATGGATTATTTGTGTGCTGCACTGTACCGTCCAGTGTCTATCCCGAAAAGTTGAGACATGAGAAATTGCTTGACAATCCCCTAGGGTGGTCAAGTTGAAAAGAACAATAGAAAAAGCGTATGGATTATATAAGATGCTTATTGTTGGATTCTCCGAGACGTATATACTGATACAGATGTAAGTAATCAACCTCTAGCATAATAGGGATCTGTTGAACATACCGTTTGTTTTGCTCAACGGTCCTCATTCGGTGAAATCGGGTAATATGACCTGAGACAGGTATGTTAGTTTCTCATCAAGTCGTCGTGTGAATAATGATAAGGTAGGAGTATTAATAATGAGCGCTTAGATCGAATTCCAGAACTGTAACTCTCGGAGTTAGAATAACTCCCTTGTACGGTAAATGGTTCCCTGTTTGCCTAGCTATAGAAAAACGATACCGTTGAAAGCTGCTACCTAGGGGAACGAAAAATGCACAGCACACAGAGACATCACATTTGGCAATCAAAACGAACGCCAGCCAAAATAGCGATGCTCGACCCAATCAATCGAACTCAGCAACCAGTTCAACAATCCGCACCGGTCGCCTAAGTGTACAATGGATTAATAATTTTCGTTAGGATTTTACACATGAAAATCGGGGAATCTCTAGACTTCTACAACCTCTGTATTCCAGGCGGAAGGACTGCGTAGCAAATTTAAACTCATAACCACTCATGCAGGTGTTTTCTAACATCCAAGTTTTGATATCTAGAGTAGTTGATACTTTCATAGTCGGATACACAAAGTAATCACTTACTTTTCGGCAAAAGTTGTTAGGAAAGTTGGCGAAAACGTTTGACGCTCTTTAGCACCCCGCGTTGCGCAGCCTCTAACTCGTTGAGGTGGTGTTTCTGCCATGGTTATCAGGTATAAGTAACTTATTCCACATACCGCCAGATATAGGCATCGGATGTTAGCAGAAAGCTTGTGGCATCGGACTTTCCTGCAGCCCTACGCTGAAAGGCGAAGTCCAGATTTACTTTCCATTATACTCTTTCAATCTGCCATGAACAATCAAGGCTATAATACGCGAGCACGCCGATATCGCTCTTATGAGAAGCCCGCTGCAGGATTTGTTGACGTAGCCAGTAGTTGTGTGGGCTTTGCTGGCGTTTGCCCAGAAATTGGCACCTGGTCGTTTGGAACTGGACCACCTTCTCGGTGGTCAACTTGTAAGCTTTGCCCAGAGCACCTTGGAATGCTGCGTGATCTTTTTCTGTAATGCTAACATGATATCCTTAGATTGTTGGCGAATAGTAGAGTTTGTGAAGAGAGCTATTAGGATTCAGTCTTCGTGGGATTGCACCACATCTACTCTCTCAATTTAACCGGAGATGCCATTACAATTCTTGTCACAACTTGTTGTACTTACGCTCAGCGAACCAGTACGATAAGCGCAACTCAGTGCTCACAACCTCCCGGATCTAACCAAGGTTGATCATATTGTTGCCCCAGTTCACAATATCGGTACCTTTGTTGCTGAACTTCACGCGCACAAGTATATCACTCATAGACTATTCGGAAATAATTGTGGCATAATCCGGAAGAGGTCTGTGTGGACCATCAGAGTATCCTGCAGCCATCACTGCAATTTGCGTCGGTCCTCTATTAAACATCACGGTGAAGCTGAGTGCTTGTCAGCGCCCTGAAAAATACACGTCATACCTTTACGTGAACCTGTCCGTACAACTGCGAGACGACTGCTCGCTGAATTTGGTAAGCTGCGCACAGTCTTGCGAACGAGAGGGATAGCCACATACCTAGGTAAATTTCCCTAGAGGCGGACACCCGGTGGTCAATTCCTTCAGAACCTGACCACCGACTAAGGATCAGGAGTAAGCTTATGGTCAGCACTAATTTTACTTGACCTCATAAGGCGTGAATGGCTCAGCCGTTGTGACCAAAGGCGCCTGTGGAGGGTATAATAAAATAGTCGAGGTAGGAACTTCCTGTTCGAACTGCTCAAGGTCTTTCCGTCCCAAATGCGCTCGCGCGCAGACAAGTGAGATGAGATTGCACAACGTCATCAACGACATTATTAATAGTAGTAAAGTAAGCACTTGAACTGGCGCTTTGCTACCGCACACCCATGGCGACCTACAGTATGATGAATAATAAGAGGAAGAGAGGGCAGGCCTAGCACAAAACCTTAGTACCCGCATCAAACAACCAAGGGCAAGGAGCCTAAACTTTGTCAAAAACCTATCATCACAAACAGCGGAACGTCTTGCGAGGTAAGGCGGCATCAGTGACTTTCAATACCCTGCGTCCTACTCAGTACTACCCCGCAGATAACCACACTCTCATTTTGAACAGGCAGTCCGACTAGGACACCTTTTTTAAAGCGCCAATATATATATATATATATATATATCCAACACTATACCAATTACAATTTAACTGGCTGAGTACCACAACGCATAATAAAAAAGGATAGCATGAAAGGGAAAACAACTGTTAGGGTAGAAGTGTCTCACAGCAAGTGCGCCATTGCGTACGGTCCTTGGCCATATCCTCCAATGCTTGCAACCAGGTGTGCTTGGGGTCCTTCGGTCCCCAAAGCGGAAACCGGAAACGCCCAACAACAGCCAGCTTCCTTGTAGGCGTCTTGACACACTAGATTCCAGTTTTAAATTACTCTTCTTTTCGTCGCTTCCAAGCCCCACCTGTGCTCGCAAATAGGGCTCGTCGGGGTCGGCGCTGGATAGGCATGCGAAGCACATGGCCAAGCCAGCGACGCCCCCGAAGTGAGATGATGCTATTAATCGATCAGCAGAGTTCGTTACAACTGAAGGCTCGCCGATGGATTTCCTCATTACTGATGTGGTGCTGCCATCGAACACCAGCAATGCTTCGCAGGCAGCGGTGATCGAAGACTGATAGCCGCTGGCCATCGCTTTTGCGGACGGGCCAAGTCGCAAAGCCGTACAGCAGAATCGCTCGTACCGTAGCCTTATAGCCTCGTCCCTTGAGAGCGGGGCTGAGATCACGACGAAGCCACAGGTGACGAAGGTTAGCGAAAGCCACTCTAGCCTTGGAGGCACGCAGAGAGATCTCATCTGTCAAACCGCTAGTACTAAGACAACTCCCAAAATAAATGAATTTGTCGATCACCACCAGCGGATGTCCCGAAAGGGTGAGAGAAGGACATGCGCTTGGACAGTCTTGTACTAGGACCTTACATTTGGAAGGGGCAAATATTAACCCGAATTGGGCGGCGGATATCTTCATTCTGAGCAGCACATGGTGGGCGGCTTGCGAGGACTCCCGAATCACAGCGATGTCATCGGCGTACTCTAAGTCCCGGAGGCAGTTACCAGGGAGCAGTTCAACACCGCAGGACTCAGAGTTATCCAGAGCAGTATCCATGGCGAAGCTGAACAAGAATGGAGAGCCTGGACAACCCTGTCTAACACCACTATTGATACTGAAAGGGGGCTAAACGTCTCCGTTTGCTCTCACGCGACCCGAAATTTGATGTAAATAGCATGAAGAATGTTGATGTACTTCTCAGGTACTCCCCTCATCAGTAAGCAGTTCCAAAGAGCCACTCTGTCAACAAAGTCAAAAGCGGCTCGAATATCCAAGAATATGACTATAGTTGGTCGACTGAACATATGGCCGTTCAAGTATCTGGCGGATCCTAAAGATGTGATCGACGCAACCGCGACCCGGGCGAAAGCGAGCTTGTTGTTCACGCAGGTGCTGTTCACGTACTCGACTGAGCCTCCGTAAACGTCTGGCAGCGAGCAGTTTGGATGCGACACAAACGAGACTGGTGCAACAATGGTTGGAGAAAATGGTCCGGTCTCCTTTTCTGTAGACAGGTACAACATCCGCTAAATTCCAGTTTGGTGGAATGGTTTTAGTAGTCCAAATCTGATAGCATAGAGATGTACATTCGCGGGTGAGATCTAGACCTCCGTATTTGAACAGGTCAGGAGGTAGTTCATCTGGGCCAGGTGACTTGTGACGCTTTAGTAGGCAAGACTCCTTGGGAACCTCAGCCTCTGTCGGTGGAGAAACATCCACGCAACAGGGAGCACTGTGAACCCCGGAAGATAGACTCGGTTGCGCTGCTGGCTATTTGAATGGATCTTTACAATGTTCTGCTCATCGTACCAGACGAGGGTGAAGACTGTGAATGAGTTCACTGTCATTTTCACGCAAAACCATGCTGACTGTTGGTCTTCTGCCTCCAGTGAAGCGAATAAGTTGGAATAGTTTGCGGGAGTTCCCTGATGAGGCTTCCCGCTCCATCTTGACGACACGCTGTGTTCACGAAACCTCGCGAACCTTCTTGAGTAGCTCTTTGAGCTTGGCACCAGTAGTGCTGTGTAATGCATTGTACTCAACTCCGGCGGGAATTGTTCGACGGGTTTCCATTAATTGGAGAGACTGTGCGGAAATCCAATGCCTAACAGCTCCTCTACTGAAGCCACAGATCAGGGTAGCGGATTTTCGTAAGGCGCTCTGGAACTGTACCCAGTGTGTCTCAACATCGGTGGATAGAGAATGTAGATTGGAGACTGATGTGTTCTGAAATGCGCCGGGAACATTTGGAACGCCGAGCTTGTCTGTGTCAAACCGTTTCCGGCAACGCTGTTGGGTGCCTCCAAAGTGCAGAAGGAACTTAGCACACACGAGCGCATGATCCGTAGTCAGGTAAGTGTTCCTTATTGACTTGCAGTCCGTTATGCAGCCACGCCAACGATAACTAACAACGATGTGGTCAAGTTGCCTCCAAGATTGACCAGACGCCAGATGTCGCCAGGTGGCTCGTTGGAGCCAGGAACGTCGGAAATTGGTGCTGGAGTGGAACAAACCGTGGTCGGCGCACAGTTGCAAGAGTCGATCGTCGTTGTC